TAAGAGTCCTGTGAATATTTCTGGTGCAGTGTCCTGCCCTCCCCCTCAATGTGATTTTGTTATTCCTTGAAAGAATACAGATAGTTGCAATGAAGCTGACCTAAGAATGATTTCCTACATTAATTGCAAGCACTTTTATTGATTGCACTTAAGCCGTTCTTCTCCCCTCCAGCCCAGCACTTTATTACTTAGGGTTAGGGGAGAAAGCACTCCACAGCAGGTATGCTGGGGGCTTTTTTCAATGGATATAGTTAGGGCAGTGGAGGACTCAGGCTACCAGTGTTTTGATGAGCACTAGTGCAGGAACAGTGAGGGTTATGATGGGATCATTCTGTGCAGGATGAGAAAATATATAGCTGAGTGATAAGCAGGTTCCAACTGCTGCATTTCATATGGAGCATAGAAAAGATCAGCTCAGGACTGGTCGATTCAGGTAACGTGTAGAGCTAGTGCTTCTCGCTGCAGGGCACAGACCCAATTCATCAGCAACTTGGCAACCTCCATCATGGATGCTTCAGAGTAGTGAATTCCTCTATCCAGAAGACATGGGATAAGACTGGGAGCTCATGCTTGTCTCAGTGCCCAGTCAGGGGAGCCAAGCTGGAAGCAGTGCTGTGCTGCTCCAGGGCTGGCAAGCAGTGGGGCTGCCCTGCAGCACCAAGTGCTCTGTTCCACTAACACAAACACCTGCATTGTCAGCTACAGCGTCTTTGCTTGCCTCTGAAAACAGGAGTCATGCTCCAAATTCACAGCAACCAGCATTTCATGATACATGCCCAATCTGGCCATAAACGAGGTGAAAGCATACTTGTTCCTCCTTAGCCTTCAGTACAAAAGCTAAAATAGAACTTTTCATCTTAGTAATATCATTATCAGAGCTGAAAAAGATGTTTAAAAGAGCCCCACTAATGGTGAACAGGCCAGTCTGCACTCAGATGCATTGTGTTTCCAGTAGGATTTTTGATGCAGGGTGTAAGTTGGCTGCCTGTGTTGTCACCTTTGTAAGGGTTATGGAGACCACTGCCCCTGGAACATGCAGATCTGTCTTCCTTGCTGACAGAGCTGGACAGCAGCTGCCCCGGTCATGTCAGTGGTGCAATAATCCTGACTGTAATGTGGGCTAGTGCCTTTTCTTCTTTGTTAATTATATTTATGAAGAAAACTTAGGAGTTTCTTTTGGAAAGATCTGAGGGGCTTGAGTTGTCTATTTTTGGATCAAATTTGGACCTTGCTCAGAAGGAAATATTGTGCAGACTACTTGTGGGATTCTGTCAATGTCAATGTGGATCTTTTGACAAAATCTAGTGGAGTTTTACTGAAAATTTCGAAGCACCTTGAATTTCTTCTTACTGGGAAAAGAATGTATTTTTACCATGCATGAGGAGCAAATTTAAGGATATACTTCGTGCTAGTTGCAATGTAATCATGAAACAACCCAGCTTTTTCCAAAGTTTAAACTCACACCATTTTTCGTTGTTTAAATGCCTGTTTCATTTGGAACTGGAGATTGAAGCTAATTATTAGTCACAGAAACAACAGCATTTGAATCCTTAGGCAGAGAAACAACAGCAGAAAAGATTCAAATGCTAAACTCCCAAAATTTCTTTCATGTTCTCATCATATAAGTGTACAGAAAAGGGTCATCCCAGTGTATTTTACTGCAACTTTTGATTCCATCACTGGCGATAACTTTACCAAATACCTGTGCCTAGCCCAACACTTTCTGATACCTGAAAGGGCTGCAGAGCAGCCTCTGTCCAGAATGGGACTGATGCAGGAACCCTTCTTTCTGAGTAAGACTGTGACAAACCTTGCACTCCAAGAGTGGTGGATGTTAATGCAAATCAGGTTTCTATTTCTTGCACTGATGTGGCAAGTCCAGTGTGTCCTTGCCAGTCTGAACCAGTAGCATTGTGTGGAGAGTTGCCACAAGGAGTTAGTAATGAATAGCTCTACCTAGCTCAGTGTTGAAGGACTAAGGAAAACAGCTCTGCAGTGGAGCAATCAGATTTCTGAACTGCTCCTCTTCATGGCAGTGGCAGAATGGAACACAAGGAACTCCCACTTAGACCTTTTCTTCAGTGTTGTTTCTGGTTTTGAAGCAGAAAGGAAGTTTAATACAGCCAGCTCCTATCTCCTGTGGGTATGAATTGTCATGGAAGACATGGCTTGTTATCTTCCTTACACTCTAGGTAGAGTCTACAGATTTCTCTGCTTAAGCTGGTATTATGAACTGTTTCTCTCACTCTGGGCAGCACAGCTTGAGTTGACTTTATCTGTTCCAAATAATCTTCCTCTGTTTGGCTAAGACGAGCATTGGTGTCTTCAAGCAGCTTCTGCATATCTTCTGTGTGCTTCTTCTGAAGATCAAGCTTTTCCTTTTCCACTTCTGCCATGGCATTTGTGAAGCTTTTTTCCACTCATCCAAAATCTTCTTCATGCATTAAAAATAGTGCCTGTTTACCACAAAAAGTGCTTCTTTTTCCTAGGCCAGTTTTGGGTGTCAGCAAAGACACTGACATTATTTTTTCATGCAAATGTCTTGGATTCTCTAATACAAGTTTCCAGCTGTTGAGACATGCTTCAAGGCCACTGTCATCCAAAAAATGGGGGGTTTCTGACATTGGGCAGACAGGGGTGTGGCTGGTTTATCTTCATCTTTCTTCAGTAATTCTGGCTCTGCTGATGAGCTCTGTCGCGGAGAAGGGTACTCTGAAGGTACTGACCTGTCTGCCCCGTCCTGTTCAGAAAGGCTTCCACAAAAGGATCCCATAAAGGTTATCTTCAGTCATGGGTAGTTGGGGCCCAGGTGTTAAGGGATATCCTCCAAGTTGCCCCCAGTACCCAGAACAGGCCCAACAAAGGCAGCATCACAGACTGTTCACACCAGAGCAGAATCCTCAGTTAGACAGGAGGATAGAATCCTGTTCCAAGGAGAAGCAAGTATTTCCCTCTTTCAGGGACAGGCTGCTGTGAAGTCTGAAATCCTTCCCCTAGTACACAGGACCTTCAGCCACACCTAAGGTCTTGGACCTGCAGAGCTTCTGCACTCCTTCCAGATGGTGACGGCTTTCGTGTCCCTTGCCAAAGGCCTTCTTCAGGCAGTAGGATCACCTCTTTGTCTTTGTGCAGTTGTTGTCTGCTGTTCTATTGCTGTCTGAAGACTCAACCGTATTTCTCCTCTTTTTTCACCTTTTAAAATGTTGCCTTTTTTTAAACTTGACTCATATGACCCAACGCATGTTAAAGAAATATTGCAGTGCACCAATTGTTTATTAAATTATCTTTTTTCATTATTTTTTTTGTTGTTTTAAAAAAGGAGAGTATTTTCTGTATCCCACTCTAGCATGCACTTAAGACAATCCCTGTTTTTTATCGTGTGTGGAGTAGGTTGTCAAATGAATGCACCTTCAGCACTGTGGCCTATGTTTGTATTGCTTTGGAGAGGTAAATAATGTCAGATTGCTGGAAAACACTAGTCCATTGATTCTTTATTCAGATGTATAGAGCAGTTCAGGAAGGAAGAATATTTTTGCATCAAATTTTCGGCTGACTTAGCAATAAAGATTTTTACTTTCATCTAACAGTTTATTCTGATTCTGTTACTGTGCTGGAGGGAATTTGTACCATATCCTAGTCAAAGGCAGCTGTGTCTAGCAGCAGCTGTGCTACAGGTTCTCCTTCACTAAGCTCTCTGGGCTACTTCACTCTTCAGCCTTCCATACAAAAGCTGAACACTGTGAGGGTGGAATTCATAATATCAGTTATTAAGGTGGCTTTCTGTTGCCTGCTATTGGAATCCTGCCCTGTGAACTTGCTCTAAATAGCACTGTACAGCTCTCTAGAAGTATCTGCAGCAAGGGGACATACAGAAATCTTAACAGGAATAGGACCACAGTGGGCTGTCCACATAAATCCCTGTGCTGAGACACTTGATGCCTCTAGCTACTAAGAGGCAGGAGAAATCAAACAAACCCCAGAGCACCTGGCGTGTTCCTATTTGGCATTTGTTTTACTTTCCTATCTCTAGTTCCAACAACATTCCATGGTTTTGGTAATAGTGAGGATTTAGTCACTGGTGCCAGTGAAAGTGGAGATATGTCCAAGGCAAAGCATGTATGTTTAGTTTATTATGGGCAGAATTCATCTGTAAGACCATGGTGGTTCAATCCTCATATGAACAATGCACATAGTGGGCACTGCTCTGAAGTGACATTTCATTTTGAGGCACAACTTGGTGACTCTAGTGCTACTTTTCCCAGTTAAATTTCGTATAAAAGTCTTTCTAAAAAAAAAATATGAGTAGCATCTCATTTCCCCAACTTGTACATTAAAAATGTATTTTGAAAACAATATACTTGTACATTAAACCACTCCTTTAATCTCTTAAAGCTTTTGTCTCGTTATCCCAACTTGGGGCATCTTTTTAAGCAAAACTGTTGTATACAAGTTATATAAAAGACCATTTCATACAAAAATGAGCCCTCTCCAGGAGTTTGAAAAGGCATGGTGCAACAAGTTATACCAAGTATATCCATCATTTTGCAAGGTATTTTCAGGATTTTTTGATGGCCTTATAAATGCCATGTTCCTATTGCCCTGTTAATTCCAAGAGACCTACAAGGAAGCAATATTTAGCTGCCACAACTATGGGCCTCACCCACTGGTTTTTAACAGCTCTGTTCTCAGTGAAGTCACTTGCCTTTTGTAACAACAGTTTTGGCCACACAAAGCTGTTCATCAGCAGAAGGATGTAGTGGCAGGACTTGTAGCAAGACCTCACTGGAGGAGAACAGGACAGCCAACAGTGGGATGGAAGGGCTGCCTGTGAGGCAGGAGACAAGTCACTGGATTAACTTGGAAGTCATTAATAATTCAGTAACGCAAATTCAAGTTAGGAACAGCCCTGACTCTACCGTATTTAGAGCTATGCCCACTCAGTGTGTGTTCCGCTGCAGCATTAAGGCTGCACTGCCTAGAAGCAAGGAAAGCATACTGCTTCATCTACGGAAACTGGCAAAAATCATGACCGTTACTGTAGTGGAGGAATCATTTGGAAGCTCTTATAATCGTGCCGGCTTCTGTTTCTTTTGGTGAACTGTCCTGTACCCTCTGACAGCCAGGACTGCACTCAGCAGGTACGCCACAGTGGCCATGCAGCCTAAGAGGCCAACAGCAACCTCTGCCCCGTGCACGCTGCACCTGAAGCCCTGATAGCCTTTGCTTTGATAAAGCTGCTCTCTCTCTTTGCACACTGATGAATTATAAACCCCCACCATAGAATGGAAGAAATAGTACAGAGCAGGCACTGTGCCAACTGCAATCACTATGTCCAGGGCGCATTCAATTAGCAGCCATGCTGGGAAACGCCATGGTACCTGTAGAAAACCAACCAGAAAAAGAATACAAGGGAAGACCAGGAGACACCCTGCCACGGCCATCGCTGCCCTTGCAATGGGCAGCTTCAGGAGGTGGAAACGCCGGTCAAGCTGCTGGGCTCGCTCTCCGTCCGCTCCGCTGAAGCCGCTGTAGGCCCCGCCGTAGTGGTAGTAGTAGATGCCCCCCAGGGCGGGCAGGCCGGTGTATCCTCCCGCCGAGCCGCCGGACACGGAGCTGCAGACGAGGACGAGCAGGGCGAGCAGCACCTCCACCATCTGGCACCAGGCTGCAGGGGAGGCCAAGGTGGGTCGGCGGCCGCGGCGGAGCCCCCGGGCGGCCGGCAGGGAGCCGTGCCCGGCGCTCCGCTCAGCGGGACGGTGGGGGCGGCTCCCGCCCGCCGCGCTCACCCCGGCCCGTGCGCAGGTACTGGCAGCGGCGGCGCTCCAGCGGCCCCTCCGACGCTGCTCCGGCCACGGCGCTGAGGGGAGACGAGAGCGGGGATGGCAGCGACCCGCCCGGGCCCCCCGCGGCCACCGGCCCGGCCTGTCCAGCCCAGGGCTATTCTGCCCGGCCCCTCTCGCCCACCTGCCCCTTCCCCCCTCACCGCCCGCTCCCCTCCACCGCCCGCTCCCCTCCACCGCCCGCTCCCCTCACCGCCCGCTCCCCTCACCGTCCGCCCGCCCCGGCGCGCCCCCACCGCGCGGCCCCGGGGCAGCCCCGCTCGGCCATGGTCCGGCGCGGCCCTGCTCGGCCGGCGCTGGGGTCGGGCGGTGGGGCCGGGCCGGGCCGCCCGCCTCGGGGTAGTGCGGGCGCGGTGACCTCCGTTCTGGCCGCCCGGTGGTCGCCTCAGCCCTGCCGGGTGCTAGCGAGGGCGGTAGAAGCTCCGGCCCGGCCCTGCTCGGCTCGATGGCGCAGGGGCGCGGCCCCGCAGCACCTGCGCACGGCTCACCTGCTGCTCGCAGGTGTGCCCGCTCCTTCGCTCGCACGGGCACTGTCCCCGCAGCCCCTTGCGGTGACAGCGTCCCGAGGTTTCCCACCTACCACAGAAAATGTGCTTGTTCTTTCCATTGGAAACTGATTAAATTTCACTAATTAAAGATTCACAGTTTTTCAAGTTCCACTTTCTTCTGTGCTGTGAGTTTTGGTGAAAGTGTTCTTTGTTCAGCTTGCCTGCCACCTTCTGCCTCTGCACACTTCGGTCCTGCCACTCTGATCCCTTATGAAATCCCAGTCCCAGTCTTTTTTGTCTCTCCTGACACAGCAGTATCACCATTCCCTGTGTTGTACCTGCTGCCCTTCCCTGGACCTGCCCTAACTCCCCTAAACCCATCCTGTGATGCAGTGACTGCACCTCCATGCAGCACTCAAGACATGAGTGCACCAGGGGCTTACATCACAGCAGAACAAGTGCTTCTGCCTTGTCCTGGCAATGCACAGCATTTTGTTTCTTCTCCAGCTGCCCCAGCATGAAGCCTCTGTCTCCAGGTACAGTCACGAACACCTTGGGATCTGTCCTGCAGTGCAACTGTAGGTTCCAGTTCAGCACTCGGCCGAACACATTCAGGTAATTTTCTTTAGATATATTATCCATATAGATATCCATCCTTATATTTATCCATATAGAACCAAACAGACCTCTTCTGTGTCTGTTTGCTGGAGGCCACTTCAGGCAGTATGATGTGCTATTTTTACTGGCAATAATGCCCTGCTGCCAATCTATCCTCCCATTCCAGCAGGCCCCTGAGTTCAGCATCCTCACCTGCCAGCAGTGGAGGTGGTGAATTACTCCTTTGATTACTGGGGGTGGCTGGAGTGAAGGCAAGTGTCCAGGATCTCACCCATGCACAAGTGTCAGCATTGCTCAGGGCTGGTAAGGGCAGCTCTGATTCAGGAAAGGGAGAAAAGTAAACAGCAAGACAATTTGAAAACACAAAGATAAGCACAGAAAACTCCACATGCAGAGCAAATGCTTTTATTCAAGAACTTGACCAAACACTGCCTGTAAAAGCTCTACCATTCAAAGAAATAATTTTGTTGCATTTAGGAAAACAGATATTTTCAGGGAAATAGTTACACCACAAGGTCTCAGACATAGTGCCTGAATGTGTGCCCTGAAAAGTCCAAATTCATCACAAAGATGCAGAAACACATTTGCTCCATCTGTAAGACTGGTGGCAACAGTAAGACTGTTTCACCCTTCTGTCATTGCAGGAGCAACAGCAACAATCCTACAGACTAATATGGTGAGAAGCCTAAAAACTGCAGTACTTCTGCACCTCAACACTATAGGAAAACATTCTCCTCAACATTTTGCTTGATTCCACAAAGGAATGGAGATCTGAAAAGTCACCTTAAAATTTACTTAAAAGAACCCTTGTTTCAACCCCAGTTCAGACAGAGGGAACAGGAGTTGTGTGCTAAGTTAGGGAATGGGGAAACCATAGGAAGCTTAGGACGAGGACTCGGGGTAGTGTAGATGCTCTGCAGTGAGGCGGTTGCACACACCTTTTCATCTGCGTACTTTGCGTCTCTCATGTTCATGTGCCAGAACTCAGGCCTCCTTGCTGCCATGCACCAGATTAGCTTAAAAGCTTTTAGCCCTTTGTAAACTTTTAAGATCCTGCACAGTGCCATTTGGCTCAGTAGAGCTTTTAGCTGACATAAAAGGGACATGAAGAACTAAGCTGAATAATCATAAGCGACAAGAAGGGATGAAATAAGTATTTCTTATGCAGAATGTTGCTGCTGGTCATCCAACAACCTGAGCTGAAGCTTTCTTTGGATTTGTGTTGTGCTGGAATTACTTGTTCAAAGACAGAGCTGGGAGTTTCCACTTTGGTGATTTGGAGATGTGTTCAGTGTTTTACTAGAATGTTTGCTGCTAACAGGTGAGGTATGAACTTCAAGGTACTGAAGAACTGAGACAATCTTATTCCACTTTTGTTACTATAATGAGAAATCATAAAAAAATGCTTTGTGTCACTTCACTCCTGCTCAAAGTACTGCAGTTGAACTTGGTCAGCATTGTCTTCTGGGTTCCTATTCTTACTGCAACCAACAGCAGTCAGCAGAAGAGAGCAACAGGAAGCCAAGGATACCAGTATTAATCTTCACCACTGTTTTGGCTTGTCTTTTATTTATTTTTCTTTTAATATTTGGCTCTTTCATTTCTGTCTGCTTCTGATGTCATTGTTGTACTAAGGGAGAGAAGGGGCTGGCCTGGCTTGCCATGGACCAAGAGCTCTGACCTGGTTCAATGCCCTCCCTGGGAACTTGGAGGGTGAAGTAGAAGGAGCAAGTCATGAACTACCTCATGTTTTTCCAGTGTGAGGCAGCTGGGAACTGCAGCACAATCACTGCTGAACACCACAACTAGATTTATTGACTGTCCCACATAAATAAATAATCACAGGGACAATGAGTGCACCATGACGATACAGCAATACTGCAAAAAAGAACTGGAGGTTATTGTTAATGACAAACTGAACTCAAGTCCGCAATGTCATCCTGTTGCGAAAAAAACTAACATTGCTAGGGTGTATGAACAGGAATGTCACATGTAGGACACATGAAGAAATTCTTCTGCCCCCCCTTCAGTGCTGGTTTGGCCTCCAGTCTTGCGCACTGTGTTTCCAGAGGCTGTGAATCAGCTGGAGGGGCTCCAGAGGAAAGCAAAAGAAAGCTCTAGAAATACAGCCTATGAGGAAACGATTGATCACAGTGATCTCATTTGAAATAACAGGTGTCTGTTAACAACTTGCAAGCTTGTTGATAGAGAGGTGTCTAAACAATTTGCAAACTTGTAAAAAGTTGCTGTCAAGAGCAGGGAAATATTTTGTTCTCTCTATCTGCTGTTGGCATGGTCAGGAAACAGTGAGCTTATCCTGAAGCAAAAGGGATGTGGTTCAGACACAAAAAAGACAAAATTTTTCCTGCCCACACCAACTCCACCACTTTGTAAAGAGACGAGCAGTAGTTGCAGGAGCAGATAGTCAGGCAGATGGTGGGTTTCCATTACTGGGGCTCAAATTCAGTCACACGAGGGGCTGGCCTGTCTGTCTTCTTGAGAGAAGGAGGTGCTGGTGCTGCCCATGCCACTCACTGTGAGCTCACAGTGTCATTTCACCCCACAAAGCCACTGTGTCCCTTTCCACCCCACCCCCACCGGCTGGTCACTGTCCCTGTGGCTCCAAGGCCATTGGGGAACAGCTGCCGCGACACATCATGCAACAGCTCAAATCTCTGAAGTCATAACTCAAACACAGGATATGAATTACCTGGATAATGTTTACCTGGATGTAAACAAGTCTGGACAAGGTGTTTCTCTTCACTGTGCCCTGTACGCAGGAGTCAGTAACACTCCTGCTTTGTGGAACGTTTTTCTCAGCATCTGTAACAGTCTTGCAAGTCTCTAATTGTGGTTGTCCGGCCTGTTGCTCACTGGTGCTTCCAACTCCCCAAGAAGCTGGAGTGCACTCTGTGTCTTCCACATGCCTGCGGTGGACTCAGTGCCCAGGCTGAGCGAGGAAGGGCCCCCATAGCTGCTGGACTCTGTCCCCTCCCCAGGCCACAGTGGTCAGTGGTTGGGGAGAACAGTCTGCCTTGCCCAGCACAGCTGCTACCAGGTTGCAGCAGTGCATTTTCAGGTGCTGGTGTTGTGGGAGGTCATGAAAGCATTTGTTGTTTACGTTCCCTAGTTTTCCTGACAGAGGGAAATCACAAATGATAGGAGATGGCGCTAATGAAGTCAGGTGTATTAATGAAGCTGTACCCAGTCTGCCCAGGGCTTGCAGAGAAGAGCTCTACCAGGAGCCTAGGCAGGTTCCTGTCCCTGCTGCAGTGCCCTGCATTTGTGCATGGTGGGAACCACCTTGTTCCCCTTCCCAAAGAAGTGCAGAGATCAGACAGCTCCCAGATGCCAGTGCTCTGCTTTCCAAAGCACAGCAAGAGCATCCTGCATATCACTTGCTGTACACAGAGTACTTTTCCAGAATGAGGCATCTCTACTAGACTATGCAATTTCAGATGTTAGAGAAAGACTGTGCATCTCTCAGATGTTTATTTCTGAGGTAAAATCAAAATTGATCCTAAATACAGGCAGATAGATAAAATGTAGCTACTGTATATTTTTAGTCATTCTGTTATTGGCTTTGAGCCACTCTATGTGACTTGGGCCATCTTTCTGGCTCTTAAACACATTGTTTGCACAGCTTTTCAGAACCTAGCTGGGATGGGGTTTTTTTTGAGCTGATTTTTTGCTCTGATTAAGCAAAGAGGTAACAGGTGCTATGCTCCATTTCAGCAAATAAGATTGCTGGAGGCACAACAGTCACCATGGTTTATCAGACTCATACAGATACATGTATGTTTGGCACAGCAGCCCTGCTCACACCTCCAAATAGCTTTAACTATGAATATGTACATTTTAAGAGTGCCTGTGTGAGCTGACCTGTAAGAGACAAGGTTTGCCCCTTGCATTTCAGAAAACCTGCTGCAGTGTTATAAAGATGCTGTCAGAATCAACAAACAGCCACAACATTCATGAGAGACATTGCTGTTTGCTCAACAATAAATTGACAAAAATAAAATAAAATAAAAAACAAAACAAACAAAAAAATCCAAAACAAACAAACAAACCAACCACAAACCAAAAAAACCAACAACACATATTTGATTATTAAAAGCTGGTTCAAGTAGAAATGCAGAGACACAACAGAGATTAGGTTACA